TTTGATTTCCTCTGTTTCTTTTTCTATCGTCGCATTTAGCCATGGTTTCTAGGATGCAGGTTTTTAATCTCTAGCTGTTTTGGAAATACTATTGTTACTATTGAAGTGTAGTGAATAATAGGGAGAAATTGTACATGAAGATGGTTTTATTGGGAACGTTGTAGATTTACAAACAATGAAGCTATTCCGGTCCTGGAAACATATATTATTCTACTAGGTTGTAAGTATGTATTTTTGTATTACTTGAAGTGCTGCAAAAATGAATTTTTCATTCTGAAGGTCGTGCGCCACCATGTGGCGCACACCGTACGTTATGGGTTAAAGAAGTTGTTGAGGTTATTGGCGGTGATGCAATTTGCCGTGGTTATTTGATATCTAACAGGGTAATCTTATGCTCTGTTTTCTGCTGCGTATTTCCTTTGCAATTCCAAGCGACACTTTTACTTTCAGCTCAATTCAGACATAGGGGTGTCCCCCCAAGAGGCCCATCGCGCGGCCCATCGCGAAGGGAGAGACGCAGATGCGGCAAAGGACGAGTCGCAGCGCATACTGTAGCGGTTAGGCGTCATGTGGTTGGTGGTAAGCCCTGCTATCACGTTTGTGTTGTATAGTGGCATGTTAGTGCGGTATTGATTGGGATATATTTCCCCACTGCCTCTTGGGGGACTTTATTGTGTAGTGAGGGGCGGAAGTGGTGTAGTGGCAAGTGGCACGCTTACCACGCGAGCGGTCCGGGGATCAAATCCTGGGTCGTGAGTCGCCCGGGCCAACCAAGCCTTCCATCCCTCCGGGGTCGGTTGGTACCAGACTTGTCTGGGAGGATAAAAACACTGACTTGTACATCGGCTGGCCCCCAAGTCATTGTATAGGCCACATCGCATTCAAACGCCACTACGAATGTACAAATGGAAGTAGAATGCGTGCCGCATCCCAAAAAGGGATTGATCAACGGCAAATGCTTTATCCTTTTATTGTGTAGTGATATTCAAATGCAGGTAGCTGAGCGTGTCCCCATCACAGCCATGAGGAATTCATCCGAAGCACACCCCTCTGCCAATTCCTATTGGTGTTTGTCTTATCTAATAATTTTAGGGCAATACGCGAATCCTTGGATGACGGCAAGCAGACACAGCAGAAAAATTGTTTATTAATGCCACTAAGCGTAGAAAAATGGATCACTGCGAGGACTCCAAATCATCGTGCTTGCAGCGATTCCAATAATCATCGAACTGTTCCTTAGAAATTTTGCCATATTCGAATTTTGATATCTTCCCATTCTTCGGGACTGGCCGTTACGTTACGGCAGAAGGTACGAGGAGTCTGGAAAACAAGACTTACGCTTGATACCATATCTACGCTCCTGCCCAATAAAATAGTAAGACTTTGGTTCTATTCATATTCGTTTGGTTTTGAATCACAAATAGTCTACACATTTTACCCCTTTCGACGGTGAGTAACAAACAGCCATGAACTTTGTCCATTCGTCGCCGTGTGGATATCCATAGTAATAAGTGACAGTGGAGTCGTCCGTCTAAAAAAGTTATCCCTTGTGATATATAGTCATATTTTGCGAGAGAGGAACCATATCAGAACAACATACCGCATGGTGTTGTGTGAAGTCGTAGTGGAGATAATACAGCACCCTTTCAGGGAGATCTTTAGTTTCCCTTCTCCACGTCCGAAAGCCTTGCAGTGGCCTGCCGCTGAGTATTCTATGCAAAACAAAGCGAACAAAGCCAACAGCTTCATCGTTGTGAGCAGTTTGTAAAGTGCCGAAGTATGGATAAGGCGGATACTGGAGCCCTTATATGCTCTGAATTTCTGCCCCGCTTTGTGTACTTGTTTTTCCAAAGTGCTCTAATATCACGTGTAATAGCACTTTGGCGGAAACATTAGGGTTAGTAGCGCCGCTCGGAACTTTTCAATGATCCGGAAGTTTCGTGCACTTTCATACAATGCTCCACGCGTGTTTCTGAATCACCACTACGATATAACTCTTCCTCGTTTCCTGAAGCCTTGTCATCAGACGAGCGTTGATAGTTGAGGATG